GGTGCGACAATCTGAACTGAACTGAATCTGAAATATTTTCACTCTGCTGTCAACCATCAGTCTTTGAAAGCTTTAGGAAGGCCACATCAAGTTAAGTGTGTGTAGATACACTGTTGATGTAAATTCAGTTTCCTTGTGTGTAATACTTCCTGTCATGTATGACAAGTAGCAGTACTGTAATGGAATCAGAGCTTACTTCAGACACAAGCTAGTCATTTTCTTCCAACAAGTCAAAGTCTGGTGAGGTTACTGTCTGTAAAAAAAAAACATGTTGGGCAGAATCAGATTTGCTCAGTTCAGTTTATCCAAATGCATAGCTGAACAAAATTGTCAAAACTACTGTTAGATATTTACTGTATGACTTCATATTTCATTTTTACTACATGTGCACTGAAATTTGCCTTTTTCCCTATTTTTAACAAGACTATCAGGTTAAATCTCAAAGTTTTGTGTAGTTTGGCAAACACACACACGGATGCCTGCTGTTAGCCTCAGGTGTCTTCGACCCTTTGCTGTAACTTACTGCAAAGCTGCTTTATAGTGCAAAAATTGCAGGTTTTACTCTGAGAATAGCAATAGCTCGATTAGGTTTTTTTGTGCATGTGTGTGAGAAAGAGCTACAGAGAGAAGCGTTATCAAACTTCAATGCTGCTGCCTGAGTGTATGTTCTTGTGTGTGCGCGTGTGAAAAAGAGAGTTTCTCTGCACAAGAGAATATCTTCAGACACACTTGTGTTTATATATTTTAGCACAGAACATGGCCTTTATGCCAGTGGAAAAGAAGCATCAGCTTGTGAAAATTCTTAGACGTTTTTAGTCACTATTTTTTAAATTAGTAATTGAGACTAGTTTAAACTGTGCTTAATATCCATATTGATCTAAGATTGTATATTAGTTTTGCTATATCATGCTTTCTCATAATACAGCATTAGATGTTCCTATTAATATTTAATTATTTTTTTCTTTCTGAAAAAATGCTTGAATGAGAGTTATTAGAAAGGAAATACAGATTTCCAAATATAGTTGGCATACATTTTTGCTGTGGTTATTTGCAGATTTTTTCTTGGCTACTGATTTTTTTTTTTCTTCTTTTTTTTTTTTTGCATATTCAATCACATCATTTAGCTTCCTCTTCAGAGTGACAGAACGTCAGACTGCGTGTGAGAATGTGGGAAGGAGGAGTTAGTGAAAGATGACAGTAACATTCTTCCTGCTAAAATCATGTGGACGTTTGTAATAGCCAAGCAATATTTGTCTCGCTTGCATATGACATGGATTTGTCCACAGAAACAAAAGTATGCTGTTACTGATACATCAGTTAGCTTTGCACAGTGGTATGCAAATCCATAAGGTGCATGTCTGTCAGTCGTTCTCATCTTGTGTGTAATTTCTGATTGTATATTAGGAGTGTCAGACACATCTGATTCAAATGATCTGCTTACCTAAACCTTCATTGCCTGAATGTGGTGTGTTGGAGAAGGGAAAATTAGAAATCCCGATATGTCTGAGATTGACACTCCTGTACTAAAACAAAATTTTGTCCCATGGACTTGATGGCAAGATCTTGTATGATTCTCAAACTAATTTTGAACCTAAACATTACCTTATACCACAGCACTGTTGAATTCTCCAATCTGATTGAAATGAAAGTATTTAACTAATTTTTCTGATAGTAGTGCCAGCAATAATTCTTATGACAGGTTTATTTTAATGCACTCATTCTAATATGTTATCATTTCTATAGTGACAGCTGCTTCACAGGGGTTTGTATGGTGGATGATCCATGTATTTTAAGCCAAATAATAAAATAATTTTAAAATGTTTTGTTGTTTAACAAAGAAATAATCGTTGATATGGTGAAGCTTTCTGTAAGGGAACATCTATTTACCATTTATTGAAGGTGTTTCAGGTGTCAGTGCTTCGTAATGGTCAGTAACTCTTCCACCATGGGAGAGTCTTCAGGACAGAGGAGGGTGCACTTTTCTGCTTCTCAGTAACGAAAGAACGAGATGCTGGTGAGGGAATGACTGTTTATAAAGTTATAATGCAAGTGATAACAGGATGTGTCTTGCGGATGTTCCACACCATTAACTGTAACGATAAATGGTTAAAAAGTATGGTATCATTTACAATTTTATATTTTTAATAGCTGGCAAATTGCTGTGGTATAAGAGGAATAAAACACTTCCATAAATGCCGTTACTGGAACATAATCAACTTCAGGTTGGACTTTGCATCAGGCTGCATCACATCATTCAGCCACTGATTATTCTCTTATAACACAGTTTCTCAGCTCTGGTCCTGGAGTACCCCGTGTCCTGCACATTTTTGTGTTTGCCTGCTCCCAACACACCTGATTAAACTAATCAGCTAATTAAAAGTCCTTCCTGAGTTGAAGTGACTGTTAGAGCAGGGAAAACACTAAAATGTGCAGGACAGGGGATGTTCCAGGAACAAGGTTGGGAAGCTGTGTCTTATAACAACATGCCGCGTTCTGTTTTATTCCTTACGTAACGTATTGCCCATGTAAAGTCTTCGTTTTGGTTCTTGTAGTGAGATGAGTTATGTGTCAACCAGGATGCAGAGCTGGGAAAAACCTTGTTCTGTTTGCCCATAGTGCCCTTTTAGAGAGATTATAGATCCATTTCCTGTTGTTGTTGCACCTTTTGGCTCACTACAACACCTACACTCACCCCTCTCTAAGTTTAATTGCACCTTTTTCTTGTTTGTTGAGCTATGTAGCTGGCATCCTTAATTTCTATCATGTTATTCATTCCTTACTTAGTAAGAGCTGGATAGCTGGAAGCAAGACCAGACCTGTTTTTTTAAGCTTCTTAGCTTCCTTAAAATACCACAACATATTAATACAGCTAGTATAATAAAGATTACAGGACACTACACTATTCAAGAAGCACTGGTTATCTCAAACAGAGAGAACCTAAGCTGCAGAGAATTCTTTTGACTTTTCTAACGTCCTGATGGCAACTCTTGAATACTGATGGAAAAATGTATTGGTGTCTCTTCAGATTCTAAACACACTTTAAGTAGGAATGGATGAGTCGCTTACATTCGAGGCTCAGTGAACACACAAGGGACGTATCAAGGTCAGCAATTTAGTCAGCAGATAAATTAATGTAATAACGAACGAATTATAGGAACATCTCTAACTGAGTACAGCTCATTGCTTTTCGACAAAGGGAATGATTTTATCAGGTCCAGGTAAAACTGTGCATACCCTGGTCATCAGTCTGCTGTCCAACAGATCAACAGCAATAAGACAGGGGAGTTAGGGATCAGTTAGATTTTATACACCATCCCAGTAAAATAATGATGATGCTCTATTCTCCTCACATTGTAACTTTTTGGCAGTATTTTAAATTATGGACAATGTGTGTTAATACATATTTTTTGCTTCTCCAAGTTCTCTACTTTCTTCAAATTATGAATATTAGAATAAAGGGAACTATTTTAAGATTAATAAAGCTATTTAAAGAGTAATGTGTATGTTTTCTTTCTATTTTTGTTGGACTGTCTGCGCTCGAGCTGTTGTTTCTGATGGAGATTATTATTATGCACAGAATATCCTATTAACAAATCATCAGAGCATCACCAGATACATTCCAGAAGATGCCACTACCGTGGGAAAGCTGCTCCAGACCTTTGACCTTCAGGCACTGTGGGGTGGGGGTTAGGGCTCGGCAGCTGGTCTGTTCACTCCTCAGGACAAAACCCCTCACATACACACACTACAGCTGTATGCTAATGTGGGTTGAGCCTGTTGCACTGATAGAACAGGAGTGGAGTGTAAAGTTATTCATTTCATATGTGTGCCTCAAGTTTGTGATTTGGTGTGAAGCAAAAAAAAAAATCTGAATTTAGATTTTTTAAATTGGATTTTGCTAATCTAAAATTAACGACAAATGCCATTATAAGTGAATTTTTGTCTTTATTTTTTAATGTAATTATGTTTAAACCTTAGATATCTAGACATCAGTAGAATAAGATGTACAATGTGTAGAATAACAGGTTTGAGTAAAAAATAATATATATAAGTACACTAACATTGTTATACTGTCACATAAAAATAAAAAGTCTGAAAGTTGGACACACTATATGTATATATTTTATTGTCTTAAAGACATTTTAATAAAGATTCAATGTTTACAAATTTACAAATAGTGAATAGTAAATAGTGAATTAACTATTTCCCCAAACAAGCCTATTTGAAAACTTTAACAAAAGTTGGTGAAGCTGGTTGAGAAGATGTCAAGAGTGAAAAGCTTCATTAAGAATACTGTAAAGAGTTTTTTATATAAATATTTTTGATTTAACACTTTGCTTGGTTACTGCATAATTCCATATGTGTAACTTCATAGTATTAATGTCTTCATTTTTATAAAAAAAAAAAAACCTGAAAAGTTACAGGAAATTTGTATGCCTTTAAAAAAAACTATAGAACAGGAGCAAGTGTTATCATCAATGTCTACAAATTATATAAGATGCTTGAAATACCCTAGCAGCTGATTTATAAAAAAAAAAAAAAAATGTAAACATGGCAGTGTACCTGAGAACTAGTGCAGTTTTATAAGGAAAAGGATGGTGGTCACACTACATATAAAGGGTGGAAAAAGTACTAAAGAATGTATAAATATTGTGTCAAAATGTTACTCAATTAAAAGTGGAAGTATCCAAGCCAAAATGTACTGAAGTTAAAGTCAAAAAGTTGCTACTTTTGAATGTACTCAAGTATTAAAGAGTAAATGCTGTTAATCATTGAAACTCAGTTAACGTCATGTTTTTTATGTGGAGTACATTTTATTGCTTATCTAAAACTGTTAGATTATTGTTTTAAAGCAGCTATTCCGTTTTGCCTGAAAACATCATTCAGTGTCTGTAAGTTTACTCGTAATCTGCTTGACTAATGCTATGTAGATTGCTATTGCATTAATCAAAAGTAAAATATTCTGTAAATAACCAATATTTACCATTAGCTAGAATTTTTCCCCGGTGGACTAGTGGCTAGCATGTGGTCCTCTCATCGCCGCAGCCTGGGTTCGATTCCCGGCCAGGGATCCAACTGCAGTGGCACAGGACAGTGCCCTCCCAGCGTCGGTCCCAAGCCAGGATAAAATTGAGGGTTGCATCAGGAAGGGCATCTGGCATAAAAACTGTGCCAAATCAAATATTCGGACCAACGATCCGCTGTGGTGACCTCTAACAGGAGCAGCCGATAGAAGAAGAAGGACTAGTGGCTAGCATGCACTGCTCTCATCGCTGCGGCCTGGGTTCGATTTCCAGTAAGGGAACCGATCCCAGCCACTGGAGGGTTGCACGAGCCACTGCACTCTCAGTGCCGGTCTCAAGCCTGGAAAATGGGGAGGGTTGGGTATCCAGTGTAAAATTTGCGCCGGACGGATGATCTGCTGTGGTGACCCCAAAAACAGGAGCACCCAAAAGAGGGAAAAAAAAATACTTACCATTAGCTTGAATTTCACTTACTGCCTAGCCAATTATGTTAGCTACTGGAATTGATGTTAGTCTAGCCTGTCATTAGAAAACAGGCTAATTTATTTAAATATGAAATTAGCAAAACTTACCACAATATGCTCGTTTAAATTAGATTGAGATGCCTCATTTAATGCAAGTCTTTGCTTACTCCAGCATACTGAAACATTTTACTGAGGTAGGGCCAAGGGCACTCATCCTCAATTTCAACACTACAGAGGCTTATCCATTTTCAGACGCACACAGATAGCCATAGTGTTAACTACATTGTGTAGCATGAGGTCAGTATAGTTTTTTATATTGATGAACATGATTGGTATAGATGTTAAACTGAGCTGAATCGACTGATATATATATACCTTACATTGGCTGGATGAAAGAAGAAGAGACCTTTGTGATTTGTAATGAGTACTTTTAAGGTCTAAATAAAAATATGAGGAGTAAAAAGTATGGGTTTTTTTTGTTGTACATGTAATTACGAGTATAATTATTCAATCTGAGCAACACTCAAGTAAAGTTATAAAGAATAAATATGCCAAAATGATACTTATCATTTTGTATAGGAATGAAGGACAATCACTCAGGTATTTTCCTTCCCTGCTAAATATTTATTTGATTTTGTATTTGTGTTTACTGCTACTTATATATGATACAAAATAGAAACCATTAATTAAAAAAATTAAACCAATTATCAAAAATATTCTAGCAGAATCCTGTTTGGGGTTAGATTAGTAAATAGTGTATTTCATTGTTTTGATATGTAATGCCCTATATTCATTTGGTATTTTTTCAAAATGTCTGTGTCAACTTTAATAGACCACAAATGACCGAAGGTGAATATAATAATTCTTCACACTTTTTGTTGTGCGATATGGTAAGACCGTTGCTTTGGCTGTTTGTGTATTAGTGTACTGACAAAATGTAATTGCTTTATTATTACTAGCTATAATTACACTGCTGCAGATACAGTATATGTAGACAGTAAACCATAAAGTTAATTCTTTTTGTTCTTTGTTAATTATGTTTCAGTACAGTATCAGGATTTGTGTGTGTGTGTGTGTGTGTGTGTGTGTGTGTGTAGGGGGTTGTGCACCATGTGTTACGTCTGGCAGACCGAACAGAAGGAGCAGAGATAATCAGACCTCTGTGTGTGTGTGTGTGTGTGTGTGTGTGTGTGAGGGAATGGGGGATGGGCAAAAGCTGCCATATGGGGTTTGCTATGGTCAGGGAAGCCCACCACTCACATTTCCTTTGGACATCTCAGTTCAACAGGCTTTAGTGTTAATACTTGTATTTATTTACAGTACTTTCAGCTGCATATAGCAAATGGCAGTAGATCAAAATCACTTAGAATAATGTCCATTTGCTGTTGTGGTGTAATCAACCTCATCCCAAAGAAACTGGCTTTATTCTTTAAATTGTATCCACACCCACTTGAGTTGAGTGAAATTCTACCCAGCAGCCCTCCAGGCACTGAACAAAGCTGAGGGTTATCCAGTGTTAGACTTGTTGAACCCTTTCTTTTATTAGGGTTGAGGTTATTACGTTAACACTTATTAATTTGACAGGTGGGATTTTGTCCAAAGTGGTTTACAAGTCGTGGTATTTGGCCACTTGTGGACATTAGTATTGAATCATTTATCTTTAATTGACAGCAGGTTCCTCAGTGTTCTTTTAACCCACACAAAGTTGACGTCATTCACACTAGCACGCTGTATTTTTGGCTCTATGGCAATTTCAACAACACACTGCGCTGTCCGGCAGCCACGCCATTGGCTGAACGTGGAGCTGCCGGAAGTAGATCTCTGGTCTCTGATTGGCGCTCGCGGTCTTTGTGCGTGCAGCAGCTGCTTCTCTCGGCTGCAGTATTTAGAATGGTCGTGCTGAATGACTGCAGAGACGCTCAGGGCTTTGAGGACTGCGATTGGCTGAGGCTGAGGTTCCAGAAGACGAGTACGTGGGCGCTGATTGGCTGGCGCTCTCTTTGTGCACGCGGCGTCTCGGCAGCTGCGTTTTGAATGGTCCTGCGTTTGAGAAGCCGAAGGCGTCCATGGGCAAAAGGAGTCAGGATGGTGTTAGTTCATGTCGGATATCTGGTTCTTCCCGTGTTTGGTTCAGTAAGAAGCAGAGGTATCGTTATGTTTATTTTTAAAAATTATTATTATTATTATTATTACTCTTACTAACACTACTTACTAAAGAAGCGCCGAAACGAGCTCGCTAATGGCAACAGCAACGACAACGACAGCAACCAAACCCTAAACGGCTTTCTTCTCCCTATACCAGTGCACTACATAGGGACAGGCTTAGCGGCGTGTATACCCTGCTTAGTGCACTAATCAGTCAGCCATTTGGAATTCTAACATAGCACTGGCGAAAAGATGAGGCACGTCGGCTAATATTAGCAGAGGTTGATCGATACAACCTTTTTTTGTTTGTTTGTTTGTTTGTTTGTTTGAGCATCTCTAGCCAACAATAGCAATATATCTCTGCTCTAAACCTGCAGCGTTATTGAGTTGATACTGTAGACATGTAAAAGCACTTCAAATCATCTGATTGAATTTTGATCTCGGAGGCTATAAACAACAGTGCAGGACACATCTTTTGTGTCCCAGCTGCAGTCTGTGATTTCCTCCTTGAATATTATTTGGAGAGAAATGGCCGTTTTGCGTCTTTAGTTAAATTGTGGTGATAATGCATTATTAAACACTGAGCACTGCAATGAAGGCTGTCATCAGAAATCCCTCATCATAATGCTACTGAATACTCAATACCACACAAGACCCAGATATACAGGAATACACTCATTACTACAGCAATTTTATAGCTTCTCAGAACAGACACAAGAAAAGACACAATAAAAAAAAAAAGTGCTACTTAAGATCAAATAATAATGCAGGATTTGTGCTGTTTATCTAATAATACTGTGATGTACATACTATACAGGTCATGCAGTAGCATTTCATTGTGCTTGTGTTTTCTGTTTTCCTGTTTTTTTACCCTTCCTTGTTCCATAGTCCGGAGGCCGCCGCTACATGCCACATCACTCCAATTCCTCTCTATCTCTCTCTTTCTCCTTCTCTCAGTCTATCTGTCTTCCTCTCTCCCCTCTTCCATTGTGTAGCTATAGCGATCGCCTCTCTGCCTGTGTTCTGCCTCCCTCTGCCTCCATCCCCTCTTTCCATCCGAAGACGACATTGGCATTTAAAAACCAAAAACCAACCTTCTTCCCACTCATCCAGTATCCTTCTGTGTGCGACTGCAGAATAACACACTCCTTTCTCTTCTTTTTTGAGAAGACACCACTGTCTTGGTTTCAGGACTGTCATGGTTAATGATAACCCATTGTAGCAGTCTACAATTATCATTGTGATTGTCCCATTTTTTTTTTATTTTATTATTTTTCCTCAGCAATGGCATATAGACTTACATTTTTTTCAGCCTGTAAATTTCTGTGAAGTGGATGCGTTCGCTTCTTGTCCTGAGTAAATTGGTGTTTATTCTTGAAAATGTCTCAGTAGCCAAAGCCACATACGAGCCAATCAGAATTCCTAAGTGCTTTCATCCAGGCTTTCAAGCACTTTTACAAAGCCAAGATCAGACATCTTAGCCTGTCTTTAAGGAGTGTGAGTTCAGCAACTCTAACCTTCCTGTCACAGGCACTGAATGGTTGCCACTGAGCTTCAGCTGTTCGTGTTAATAAGCACTACATTGGCATATTTATAACCATAGCGCAAAAGCCTTTGGCACATGGTTCCAAATCAATTAAAACATTAAGTGAATCCATTTGAACTGAAAATGATCTGATTTGTTGAATGTTTCTGATGACCTGAGGGCCAACAGTCTTTGTAGTGAAGGCTTTTCACTTTCTGAGTTCTACTGCAACCAGCAGAATTACAGTGGAAAGATTCAGACTGCGCACCTTAGTTACAAATCCGCAAAGCATGAGTGATTAAAAATATTAAAAGATCACCATGCCCTTTGTAAAAAAGGCAAAGCTCAACCAAGTAGTCAGTCATTATGCTTCGCAGATGGAACAAGAGTGTGAGGTGAACGTGGTAGATACGTAATCCTCTGTCCTGAAGACTTTCCCATGGCAGAAAACTTACCGATTGTTACAGTGTTGATAGTGAACACTCTTTCCATAACTCTTAAATAAACGTACATGCGAATGGTTATACATTTTTCTTTTCTTTTCTTTTTTTAATACAGCACATTTTTAATTGGGGAAAATGTTTGCTTTTTTTTTTGTTTGTTTATTGTTACACTTAGTTTATATGGAGCATCTGCCATGTGAATGTCCCTGGGAATGAGTTGTTACGTACAAATATTAGAAAGAGGAGGCTAATATAAACCTGTGATTTGCCTTGCGACCAGCAGAGCTGCTGTAATAGAAAAGTAATCAACACCTTCTGACCAGTAAGAGTCAAGAATTCAGCAACATTGGGATATTAAAAACATATAAAGAAGATGGCACTACCACTGCATTCCATTCAGGATGAGTCTTCGTAGGTAGTGTAAGCAGGCTTTGACCTTGTGATATAAAGACTGTCCTAGCCAGAAGCAGC